AATCGGAATTTCGACCTGACCGGCTTGCGCGGGTGCGTTGATTATCAATGATGAGCAAGTTGTGACCGATGCGTATTGTTTTGTTCTAGAACATACCAGGTGAATGGCGTGGAAATCTTTAGCCGTGACGGTTCAAGGTACCTCCATGTTTTCAACATGAGCTTTTGCTCGTCTACCAGGGTTTCGTGCAGCTCTTCGCCCGAACTGCAGATTGTAGGCGGCGTATTATTTTTGATTCATTGCGTTTGACCGATTTATGCTCGTCTTGTTTCTAGAACGACCAAGAGTCGGTTGTCAAAGGCCTGTTGTGCAAGATCACGTCCATACCTCGGTCAGACGAAAACCTCTATGCCAACCCATTGGTGTAAGTCGCTGATCGCCGCTGTGTTTTACGTACCATCCGACCTACGGTGACCTTTGGTTTTAGCCTCGGCGAGAGGATCGTTTCCATTAGTGATCAACCGAGCTTCGAACAGGTGAACGTCTCCAAGGACGTATTCTCGGCATGTGAGCAGCTTTTCGATTTTGCCAGTCTCGCGCGTTTTCGATTGTTCGTTTTCAGGGGAATTTCCGCAGGTATACTTTCTGTACCATTATTCGGCCGTATCTCGCAGTTGTGTCAACGGTTTCCACACGGTGGTCGTGTTTCGATGTGATCCTTCTGCTAATGAAACCCGCGTAGAACTTCCAACCGCCTGTCCTGACGGCACCTGCGATGGTTGTTTGTACTACATTTTCGTATATTCGCGTCAAGCGTGTCCCGTATGTGGTCCTGACGACTATGAGGAAATTGTGGAAGCCTGCCGAAACGGCGTCCAGTTGGTTCATTTCATTCCGTCCAAGTGAGTCTTGATCTTAAAACACTATATATTATTATCTGTAATGGTCCGCAGTAGTAATTACCGTAAATGGCACTTCTTCTAGCGAAGTTTCAAAAAAACTGAAGTACAAGTACTGATTTGAAATTAAACTTCATGAATAATTTATTGAAATAAATATTCTTGGATTAGTTAAGGGCGGATTGACTAATGCAAGGCAGTTTCTTAACCGATACTGAAATTGGCAAAATTCTTCCAGCTCATGATAGTAAACCTACTGTAGGATAAGTCAAACTGCCTAACTACACCCCGCTGCTTATGCATTATTTGTACTTCTACCACAGCAGCATGGAATTTACCGCAAGACCACAGTGCGTTTATGGATGCTTCTGTTCGAGGAATGTACTCAGTGCAGTCTAGAGAAGTCATTAAATGTAGTACGACGTGTTAGTATAGAGAGTTCGATAGCATAAAAGACCTGCCGGAAATCGAATATCAGGATTAACAAACATGTCTGCAGTCTCCCTCAGTTTAATACTCTGCTATTCCACCGCACACCCTTTCTGAATGGCATTCCTTCACGCAGACGATTGTTTCTGTACCAATCAAAGCTTGATCTTTAGATTAAAGAGTGTCTACATATTTTGGCGATGAAACGTCGCATACGCCATGATTTTTGCTGCGCTGTTGTGATAAATGAAAACTGGGGTATTGTCACGAACTTCATAAGAAAGTTCCGAATGACGTGATGAGTGGTTAAGACGAAACTCTTAAATTTAGTCATAACTGTGATGGTTAAAATTTGTTAGTCTGTTACTCACTTTAAATCAAGCTATTTTATTTATATAGGCTGGTTACCTGCCAATGCGAAACACATTGGTAATAAAATGGTAACATTTGTTTTGGTGTCCTCAACCATGAATCGGCGGAGCATCTGTAATTTCTTGCTGTCTTTCCTTTCTTTTTAATTCTTCCTTAAAGTTAATTCTGACAGTTCAATAAGTTGTATATTCCAGGCAGATCACAATTTTTTGCTGATATGCCCAATGAGCAAAATGATAGTGATTGTCTGGTACATTGGCTTATTGACTTACGCCCGATACCTCGATTGTTAAGGATGTTGGTTACGTAGCATTACTCCGCTTCTCCTGAAATTAGATTTTCCCCAGCATAATAGGAAATCGTTAATGTAGGTCTTTCGCATTTAATAAGATGATAAAAATTAAAAACGCTTAGCGCTTATTTACATGCAACGGTGAGCATATTTCTTGATTTCGATTGTGGAGTGTATCTTATATGCGATATTTGTTCTTTCTATACTTCAGTTGGCGCATCAGTATGAAACGGATTTTTGTGGATATGAAACGCGCGCTTTAAAAGTTTATAATACACATCGGGTCATTTTCGTTTTCTGTATTACGCAAGTCTTAGGTATCCGTAAATTCACTGGCATTCGTTTTTTCTCCGGTATTTCTTTTTAACCTAATGCGGTACATTTGCCTCAAATCAGTTGTTTGGAATTTTTCTCCCTTTTTACGTTTTCCATCTGATTCGTTGTTAGGTCTTTTTTGAACTTCGCTTGAAATGTACCAGTTTTACCTTTGGGTGCATGCCATATGTGTAATGTATAGTAGATTTGTTTCCATGACTGTTTATCGTTTCAAGGTACCATTAGACAGCGTATCCAGTGATTTCAATTCTGTACCAGCATTTGAACGGCGTAAGCTGAGTCTGGAGCATAGTTCGTCGAGGTACCTGACTCAGATCAGTGTTGGTGAGCTTAAACCGGTAGATGGTTCAAATTTTACGTTTCGCTTTTCTGTTTGCGAAGATTGTGAAATACTGTATGCCCGGACTGTCGCATCTGTAACGTCTTAGAATCAACAAGCAGCTGCTTGACACAAAAGCTGTTCAAACCGATATATTGCCGACAATGCTGAGATTCGGGAGCCTAGCGATTTCTCTCACAATACAGTTTTAGTCCCCTGTGC